ACGTACCACATTCAGGATCAAAGGATCTGCGACAATGAACGCATCATCAACCTGTCGTCTCGGTGCTTATTGGTCCACTTGCCACAGTACCAACAAAGTCGTCTCTTGAAGACCGTCAGTTTCATCAGCACAGAACAGGCCAACAGCACATACCGCAAATGATTGTAGGCCCAACAAGAACAAGAACAATAGAACTAACATAAGAGGAACTGTAAGAACAACAACATTACCAGCAACATTCACAATAACAATAACAAGAAACATTCATCAACAAAAAGAAGAGCAAACGCAACAATAATCAACACATGTTTTTGATAACAATAACAGCAATAAAACCAAGACTACACAAAAACAATAACAGCAATGACATCAACAACCACCACAGCAACAACAACAACAACCACCACCACAACCACCACAACCACCACAACCACAACCACAACCACAACCACAACAACCCCAAGGCCAAGGCCAAGGCCAAGGCCAAGGCCAAGGCCAACAACAACAGCAACAACAAAGAAGACAATCACAAAGCCACAGATCCACTACAGATGCGAAAGCCTCTGAACTTGTGACCTAGAGAAAATGCCTACATCGGACCTGCTGAAAACTGTGATTTCCATCCCCGGCCACTAGTGACGGCTACTGGCTGACACGAGGGTTGCAAAAGTGGAGGCGCAGCAGAAACCTGAAGTTCTGTGGGGCTCAGGCCTGACAAAGAGAGGCCTCAACAAGGAGGCAACATACCCCTCCCCTCTTGCACAGCAGGCAAATTGAGAACGGAAGGTTTTGTATACAAGTTGCAGTCACGAGAGGTTCTGAAAACACAACCCTGAGAAGGTATGGGGAAATCAAGAGTACGGATGGCACCCGGCTCTAAAGCTCAGTGCGGGCCTCTCGACCGTGTCCGCGGTTCTTATGCCCAACTTGAATGAGAAACATGCAGCCATAGCAAAACAGCAAACGGAGAAAGCCTGAAAAATTCCTGCAAACAGCGAGGGCTTCATCTCGGAAGTGGTGCCTTTTTCCAAGCCTCTTTGGGACAGGAGGTATGGAAAAACAGAAACAAAGCCCTCAACCCTGATTAACCCCACGGCTGATGGACAATTCCGGGGTACTGAGGGTAATAAGGGCAATACTGGGCTGTGTCCATCATCGGTGTCGCTAGTGTCTCTACGTCGTGGGCCCTTCCCCTCCCCGCCCCAAATAACACTGACCTAGATCCTGGAAATCCCTGGAAGCCAAACCAACCCCTAACGTTCTGAAGGCCGACACACATCTACACCCCTCAACTCCCAAAGCCCTCAACCCTAATCAAAGTTGTCGCGAATCTGCAAGCCCCGAACCCAAGCGCAAGCCCCGAGCCCAAAGCCTGAACCTTCCTGATCCCTGTAACTCTGAGTCGAGGACGTGTCTGAATCGATCTGAAATTGTTTAGGGTTTAGCGGTTTACACTCTCACACTCGGACTCTGCCAGATGAGGCTCGTAGGGTTTAGCGGTTTAGGCTTTAGGGCTTAAGGGCTTAATCAGGGGTTTAGGGTCCAGGGCAGGGGGATACAAGGCCCGGGGACGAAATCCAGGGCCACAGCCTGTAAGGTTCCCGGTGATGCTCTTGCCTCTTGCGATGGCCAAAGCCTGGGCAGCCAGGGATCCTGTATAGTATTGTAGAGAGTATATCGTGCATAGTATATTGTATTACTAAATCGTATAGTAAAGTATAGGATTTTGTCCTTGGCTTTCGAAAAGAAGCTCTTTCTCGACTCTGGTCGCATAAGATATTTCCGGGGGAGGGGCGGGGGTGCCGGGTCGTTCTTTCGACTTTGGCTTTCTCAGGCCGCCTGCTCCGCCCCGACTAGTATATAAGGTCCGTACTAATTAGTTAGAGGGTTCTGGATATACTCTATATATATATATAAGGTATAATAAGGAACCCAAAGCAAGTTAAGCCCCTACATACATTCTGCATGCACGACTTCGGCTTTAGGGATTAGGGATATTCACGCTCTCGCAACTCGGAATTGGCGGGGTCCAGGGCTCCTCAGACTCCAGACCCAATCTCAGATATACCGACATTTCATGACCAGGGGTGCTGTGGAACTTGGGGCGGCATGACCCCTTGTGCTGCTAAGTCTATACATGTCCCATATACAGGGGCCGAATGCAGTTCTCTGCAAGCTCTCAGCGATCGGCTCTGTTTCAGATGCTCTTATCAAGTCGCCTCGCCCATGTATGAGAAGGCTTATTCGGCTATCGCCTAGGACACCTTGGCAGCCCATCTAGGACTGAACAAGCGCCAAGAGCTGCACAGGGGTACTCTACACTGCAAAGCATGTGCCTGGACAGCTGCACCTCTCTCCACCGGCAGCTCGAACAAGCTCTGACAGATTTCTGAGAGGAAGGCGCTGCGAGATTTCCGGGAGAAAACATCTGCAGGTGGCGTCCTGGTAGCAGGTTGCTCGGAGCCATCTCGTAAGTTGGGACACGTGAGGCTTCTCGCTTTCAGCACTATAGCAGCGACACAGGACATGAACACACAAACGCATAAAGCAAGCACAATATCATAACCTAGTCATAGCAGCAAGCCAATATCGAAGCAACAGCCAGCACCAGCAGCAGCAGCAGCAGCAGCAGCAGCCGCCGCCACAGGCACAGGCACAGGCACAGGCACAGGCACAGGCACAGGCACAGGCACAGGCACAGGCACAGGCACAGGCACAGGCACAGGCACGGCCACAGCCACAGCCACAGCCACAGCCACAGCCACAGCAACAGCAGCAACAACAACAACCACCACAACCACAACCAACAACCAACAACCAACAACCAACAACCAACAGCAACAGCAACAGCAACAGCACCAACACTAACACCAACAGCAGCAGCAGCAGAAGCATCAGCTGCAGCAAAAGCATAGTAGTGGCAGAAGTTTTAGTAGTTGCGGGAGAAGTACTTGTAGCAGCAGCAGTAGTAGCAGTCGTAGTGGTAGCAATTAGTAGTAGTAGTAGCAGTAGTNNGTAGTAGTGGTAGTACTGGTAGTAGTAGTAGTAGTAGTAGTAGTCGTAGTAGTAGTAGTAGTAGTAGCAGTAGTAGTAGGTAGTAGTGGTAGTGGTAGTAGTAGTAGTTACTTAGTAGTAGTAGTAGTAGTAGTAGTAGTAGTTCCCGTCCCGTCCGGTCCTGTTCTGTCCTGTCTGTTTGTCTGTCTGTCTGTCTGTCTGTCTGTCTGTCTGTCTCTCTGTCTCTCTGTCTCTCTCTCTGTCTCTCTCTCTCTCTCTCTGTCCAGTGGGGATTCTCGCCGGTTTCCAACATGTAATCCTGCGAATTGCTATTAACATGCCCGACATGCCCGAGGAAGCATGGCATAAGCATGGCCTTCTCCCAGCCCCGTGCAAAGCATGATTGCGGTGACGTATTGTTGGGTTGAGTTTTCGTCCCGTCCACGGTGACACGCATCGGTGTCCAGAAAATACACGCCTCAGTCCGATCAAGTTTCTGGCGACAGCTTGGGAAAACAGTTCAGGGCGTAAGGCCTTTGCTTGGGATGTAAGTAAGTCCAGGGTTGATGTAAACTACATGTCCAGGGCCCGAGCTCCGCGTGTGTCATTTCCATGGCTTCAAGTTTAAGGTTTACAGTTTCGTTGTTTTCCCTGTGAGCCTCACTGCGAACTCCGGCCCAGTGTGCATCGTTCGAAGGAGGAATGTAAATCTATCGCACTTGTTTGAAGACACTGTGTGCGTTGTATCCCTCCTGCCACCCAAGGAACCTCTCATGGGTCTCGCCAGATGTGCCTGGGAGCTATGCTCGTTCATGTCCATGCGTACTAGGGTTACAACATTGGAAAATGTCGATTTCGTATCCGTGTTGCCACCGCGCATGAACCACAGCCTTGAGTCAATCTTCGCGGGACAGCCATGGCATGCCATCTCGCGACACGAAGACATCCTGAGCTTTTATCTGAGGTGATCGGGGATGTAACATTTTTCCGCGTCTACTTCTCCACCACCGGGACCACCGAAAGCACGGGACTATGATTTGCATTCAGCTTGAATGTTTTGTTTGTAAACAAGCAACTGCGAGTTTATCCTGTCTCGAGGCGGCGACACGACAGCTCTTCTGGAAGAGGTCGATGTACCTCTGCAGCAGCCAGTGCATCGGACTAACTAGTTTCGTGTCACGTTGGCTCGAGGTCAGCTTGAGCGACAAGGTGATAGCGCCTGACACGTCACTTCAGCCAAGAACTCAGAGACCGTCCCGCAGGTGGCGGCCGAGAGATTCGCAACCTCTTCCGGTCTGCTCTGCAATGCCGCGAGGTCCTACGCCTTCTTGGCCATGACCTCCAATTCCCCTTCCACTGAACAACGGACGCCCTCGACCTGGCTCATTTACGATGAATTTGCCAGTGCTCCCAAGCTGCAAGACGACAGTGAGCCGCGTCGCATGAAAACTTGCCGATGGAGACGTAGCCGCCAACTCCTTGCTCCATGTCCTGAGTCAGCCTAACACAAGCAGACGAGGTTGGCAATGTGAGTTTCGTGGATCTGGACCTCGATGAAACCCAGCTTGGTGGGACCATCGAATGGAACCCGCCTGTGCGCACAGCGGCCGTGTCTGTTCCTTCGTCAGCCGTTCAGAAACAGCTTGCGCAAGAGGGCACGGTGGTGCCTCCGGTGCTTGCTATCCAGCTGTGTCTCTATTTGCTAATGAGTTTATGTGTACCTTGTCTATGTCTATGAGGCTATAGGCTGTATACTTACCACGCACATGCATGCCCGCGACAGTCACGCGCGCGCCCACACGCACACACAGGCTCACACTGGCGCCCCCCTACACACAGACACAGACAGGGACACGGCGATAGAGAGATAGACATGCAGATACATAGAAACTCGCTCGCGCAAAAAGATGGGTGCGCGCACCTCTGCCGGATAAGGCCTATTTGATCTACTTGGCGCAAGATGGAACCGGCGCCTTTAAGTCTCAGTGCCTTGCCAACAGTTGGAGAGGCTTTCGTCTTCCCCGGTATCGCGAGTACTTGTCTCTCTGCTCAGCGATTCAATCACTCGCTGGCGCACCCTAAAACGCCAAGCTGCATGATCTTGGCTCATTGTGGCATAAGCCACCCGCGCCAGTCCGTCCTAGCTTCATCGTGTATGGTTTAGAGCCCGGAAAAAGCAGATACTGGAGTCTTCCGGGTCCGGCCTTGTCCGCTCTCCCCCTTCATACCCAGACACTGCACGGGATCTAAACTCTAAACGCAAGAGCCACATAAAAGGACCTTTAACAAGTGTTTAGGCTTTTGGCTCCGGGGTTGCGGGTTCAGGGTTTAGGGAGGGCCCTGAAAAGGAATCTAGGGCCTTCTCCAAGGGTTCTATTCTTCACATCCTCCATAATTAGGGTCTATTCATGAATCTCGTAGAACTTCAGGAATATAGTGCTGAATAAATTGGCGTCTCGAATCTGTGGGATGATCCACGATGGCCCTGCGTGAGACGACGCTTTTTTTGTTGAGTTTATCATGTATGGGTGCGTCACAAGAGGATTGGCCATGCATCCCCTCTCCGTGGATCTGTCGGGGCTGGATCGCAAATCGGCTAATGGGACAAGTTGGCATGTTGTTGAGGAGCACCTATCTTCCAGCGAGGATCGTTGAAGGGGTTGAGCTGGCAGAGAAGTACAGGGAGTTCATCACTGACCCTGGCGGATGTCTCGCTGCGCAATGGACTATGCAGCTTCTGTCGGTCGAGCTTTACATGTCCCGTTTTCAAACAGGCGCCGACGGGACCCAAGCGCTTGGGGTTGATGGCATCATGTCCCTATTCGCCATGTTTTTCCGTGGGGACGCGGCCTGCGTGATGCTTTTTGATCAGCTTCTGTGGGGCACTGGTGCTGCTTGGTCTTCTGTGGCCGCTGCTGGCTGGAGCACCTTTGCCTTGCTTGGGAGGCTGTCCAAGGCTTTGCAGATCTATCTAGACATGCAAGGCGGACCATCAAGCGAAGCTTTGCAGGGCTTTTTATTGCTGCCGACGGGGGAGATGCGCAACATCGCTGAGCGGCTGCCCAAGCTCCTCCAGAGCTCTCTTTCCAGCTTACGGGCTATAAATGTGTCCACACCATGGAAAGTTCGCGCAGAAGCTGCAGCGAAAGCAGAAGATCTGTTGCGAGAATGGTCACGTGAAGCTCTCTACCAAGGATTGCCACCTGTGCAGGTGGTGGCATTGTTGTTGGTCGACCTTCGGTCACCAGAACTCTGGCAGCTACTGGACCGAATGCTGTTGCCCCACAGTGTAAGCCTTTGTATGCCGAAGCTGTTTGGTTGGGCATCGTTTGCTCATCGTGGGCGCTGCACGGCAAGACATTGTTCAAAATTCTGGGACCTGGATGAGGCCTATGTTGCAGGCACTGCGAATGCGCATGCTGCCAACCAAAGCTCTGTCAGAGACTGGGTCTGTGTTGAAAAACTTATGCAAGCTTAGCATAGCCTTTTATTATACATTCTGAAATAGTTTGAGTGGCTTCCACGAACAACCCAGGAGACTTGACTATTGTCCACGTTGGCGCGGACCGTGACTTCCTCAGCGACAGCATCCGCAGCGAGTGTATGCTAAGATGTTCAAAGTCCGTAGTTCGCACTTTGAGACAGTTGTCAGGAGCCGTGGTGGGGTTTGTAGCAAAGACGCCCTTGACATACGTGGACGCAGGGGCAGCCATGGGGGAGTGCATGCTGTTGGCGGCGTTCATGCTGCCGGAAGGTCGTTTAAGGGGTTTGGCATTCGAGGCGTTGCCCCGGTTTGTGAACCGAATCAGGGAGACCCTGCATATCAATGGTATCACTGCTTTTGCGAGCCACAACAGCACGCAAGTGGTGGTCAAGAATGTGGCTTTGGGCTCTGCGCAATCCAAGATGCTAGGGTCATTCTCCCACGCAGGCTTCGTATCTGAGACCTTTGGGGTGCCGACTTGGGGCCGTGTTTTTGTGAGAAGCTCTACTCTGGATCATGAAGTTGCCTCGCATCTGGGTCGGAAGGAGACTATTGATCTACTGCACATCTTCGTAAACTCCTGGGAGCCAGCCGTGCTCAAGGGCACCAGGCAACTTCTTCTGGATCGCCGTGTGGGCTGTGTGCTTGTGCAAGCATCTCGGTGTCAAAGTGGGATAAAGTATTTTTTCGTACCTATTCATAAATATTTGTAGGACCCCTGAAAGATCAACCAGGTGTATGGGCGGGAGACTATGTTTTCTATCGTCAAGGGACTTCTCCGGACGGCTGGCTACACTGTGAAAAACCACAGTCTCACATACGTGGCTGCTAGCCCTTCAGATGACCTCGCACTCTCAGAGGGGACACCATGTAACCAACGCTTCTTTCAGTGGTGGCTGCGTGGAAAGAAGTTGATGTATCTCAGTGAGCCCGAAAAACCCTTCGGCCGCACACCTCAAGCAACCCTAACCCATGTCTTAATCCGAATTCTAGGCAGGCCCTGTGTTGTGACTCGTCGGTAAGGATTGAAGACGGGGTGCCGCATGTAGACGCGGCCACAGTTCTGGACATGCCGATCGACACGGCGGTTGGATCCAACACCGACGCATGGCAACTGATTACATGCATGCTTCGTGTCTACGAATCCAGCATTTCAGCTACCTCAGTCTGATGCTAGTTTAAACAGTAGAAGCCAGTTGCTTCGAAATTGTACACCTAAAGAGTAGTGGCATTGATGCTCTGCTTTCGAAGTCGAGAGTTTTGCTAAATTGCGTACAAATGCAAAACAGACTCTTGTCACTAAGCTTTTCAAAGTTTCATGGCCATATACGAGGAACACTGATAAGTGCAGCAAACATGCATCTTTGTGTTTCTGACAAGCAGCCAATATTAAGTTCATTAGGCCAAGATGGCGTGGATGAAGCTAGTTTGCCATGTCTCTATTGAGCTTCAGTCAGCATCTGCAAGCATACTCCTGTGATGGCATAAATGCAAGACAAGTTCTTCGACGTCCGCAGCGTCTCATCACCAGTTTTACTGCTGTTTCCGCACTACAACGCGTCAGCTTTGCAGCTTTGGACGATGGTTTCGGATGATATTGTGAAGTCTGGTTTCTAGCTCTTCAACTTCTCTTTGCATGACTTGGTATCGGATGAACGCGCTGGACATGTGCTTGCTGAGCATATGGCACAGTGCATCGCATAGGTAGGCAGACAAGGCAATGTTAGCCGACAGTCTTCCAGCGTTTGTGAGCGGAACCCGTTGTTCCGTTGCCAGCGTCAGTTCAGATGCATTTTCCCGCCGTTTTTTGTTGCACCACGACATCAAAGCTTTCACGATCACCCCTGCGGGCCAATAAGGACATCGTGGTTTACACGCGCTCCACGTTGGTAGAGCCCCCAAGCTGAACAGTTAAGACCCAGGGATCAGAGTACGCTCAAGCCCCAGGGAGGGCGGTTTGGTCCATTTGGTGCCCGGTTCAGTCTCCCGCAGACTTTGAACCCTGCAGCCCCAAGCCTCATCCTCAGCTTCCCACTGAGAGGCCAAATTCACAAGCGACGAACACCACTTCTTGGATGACCGGTAACTGCCAATGCGCGTTTGTAACTCAGACTACAAGCCAGCACGCCTAGATCCAACTCGGCTGCAATATTACATGATCTGCCGTGTCAGACTTGACCTTGCACAGATGATACCACCCGGGCACTGAGAAAAGCAATTACATGAGAGCATGAGATGCCTGGCGGCAACGACTACCACCGGCATGATGCTGGCGGTGATCATGGTGTCAGCCAGAAGCGACAACAACTGTAAAAATAATGTAGTTGTGACTGCTGCATTCGCAGAGCTGTGATGGCGATGCCGGTCTTGGTATCTGGAACCTTGACAACGTTGATGATAATGTTGATGACGGTGATGCTCCTTTTTCGATTCCGAGCAACATACCCTTCGACGAGGCAGACCACGCCGGCATCCCTTTCCTTCTCGGACACCATGGCCAGTGTTTCGGGTCTTGCTCGGCCCTCGGTGAAGAGCGATGGCTTCCGTGCTCTATCCTACAATGGAAAGCCCTTTACTCGAAACTTCGACACCCTCTGCCCGGTCTACCCTGAACCCTTTGCCGAGCAGGCTTTTCCAGACCTGGACCTCGATGCCGGTGAGGTAGGAGGGACCTTGGACTGGCTGGGGGCTGAGTATCTCTGCGTGCGAGTGCTTGATTGCCAGAATTTGCCAGAGTTATTCCTACATTGAACTTATGACCACCATAATCCTTTTGGGTATTCTTTTCGGGTGATTCAGTCTGAAGTGTTTGCGTGAAGTGTTGGTAGGGGTGAGGGTCTGGAGTTTCCAAAGATCTCGCTTTGCGGCTCTTTCCCCGTGACTCTTGAACACTCCCTGTCGCAGTAAGGTGAGATGTTGAGTCGCATTGCAGCTCAATGTTTCATGTTGTTGGCCTTGGGATGCAGGGCAGGGCAGGGCACTAGGACCGAGCATACGGGGTTACGGAGACAGTTGTCGATTGTGTGTCGAGGTCCGCGGACCCGAATTCGAAAGGTTGTTGCGTCGCACAGCGCCACTCAACGTCGGAATGCTAGTATTGTTTTGGAAACCGTCCGCGACGCTAGCCCGAGCCCGCCGTTTCATGAATTTTTGCACAAAGACCTGCTGGCCCTGGAACACTATGACACCGTCCATACCACATCGTTTATGTCGTACGGACGAATGAGAGCTCCTCATCCAGCCTCTCTGCCCGAGGCTGAACACGAACTTATCCCTCACCCAAGGTCGCCCCCGGCCGAGATGACTTACGTCAGCGCCTTCAACGCCTCTTGCCATCCTTGATGGCAGCTTTTGCTAAACGGTTTCGACTCTTGAGATTTGCGCCCTGGTCTTTGTGTTTGTTCGGGCAGGTTTTGTCTTAGATCTCTCTCCGCTTTTTGACTCGCATGTTTTTATTTGCCAACTGCCTGCCAACCAGCAATACTTTCTCTGTCAACGGGGTGATTCCGACTTGTTGTGACCGCCATTGCCTCCGCTACTTTGTCGAGGTCTACTTTGCCGTGGATGCAGTGGGAACCAACCGGTCTCAGCTGGCCTCCATTGATGCAGCCCGGCATGGCGATGCTTCTCGGGGTAATCCCGGTTTCGCCAAGAGATTCCGAGCAACAAAGTGAACAGACATGTTTATGCTTATCTTCTCAATAATCATCATACAGCAGAGATCTGTGCAGACTCCGCCTCAGATGCCCTGCAGGTCGGCACCAATTACGATGCCAACACGAGCAATATGCACCCTGGTAGCAGCGCTGGCATAACGCGCACATCATGTTCACAAGGGTTCCGAGCTGGGCACAAGAAACATCTGAAGCAAGGTTCGATGTGCCTGCCAACTCAGACTTCACCGACTTCTCGCACTGTGCCCCGGCCTAGCCGATGATGCTTGCAACATGCAGGAACTGAGTCGCCTGTCAGGCCTCTTTCGTCAGGTGGTTGAGGTGTGCTCGGGTGCAGGAGACCCTCAGCAAAACCTCAGAAACCCGAAGGATGAAAAAAACAGTCCACACCGACGAGGGACGTCGCAAGCCGTTTTCAGCTGGCTTCAACTTTCCTCGAGGCGTTGTCTACACCAGCTCCACGTTGGCAGAGCAGTCGACGCCTGCCTTCCTTGCTGTGCAGGAGTCCGGAACTTTTCGCTGTTTGAGGGCTGGAGAGTTACTACAGGAAGGACTTGGGTGGGAGAACGGTGCAGTCCCACGTCGTAGCCATAGCATTGCAACAAGATCTGATTCACAAGCTGCTCACCCAGATTGAGAAATCGTATTTCTTGGGAAGAGCCTCTCGGGTGAAGAAGCAATATTTTCGAGTTTTCGGTACATCGAAACCTGCAACCCCCATGACGTAAGCAAAGCGAGAGCCTTGGCCAGGACTACGATGGTTCCGTCAGCAACATTCAGTTCAGTGACAAGGCCGAAGACTTTTGTGCTTCGACCTCTTCGAAGCAGAACATAGTCACGCGTCAAGTCAAGTAGTCGGCTGTTAGTTTCAGGAACTTTCACTCGTGGTACAGCCGTCCCGGTCCGGACATGTTGGAGGTGTGTATTCTGCACGTTTCCCATGCCTAGATCCGTTGTCCGGATGACGTTGTCCACTGGATGTGTGGCTGACAGGACCTGGATTTGTCTGAAGTCGGCGGCGACGTGCCGCTTTGTCTGCAATCTGATGGGGTCCCCATCCTCCCTTTGGGCGGCCGCAGAGGCAACTTTCCGGCCTGCTTCGAACGCTGATTGTTGAAACGTGGTTCTTAGGCATTGGCAGCCTCCCTCCCTGCTGGATGGGCGCTTGGCCTCCTACAGCCGAAGCCTTGTGGGAGAACCGGGAACGGCCTTGGTTTGTTTGGGCCAGGCAGGTCCCAGGAGACAGGAGTTTCAAGCCCCAGAACTTGGGAAAAAGTGAGGCATCTACCTGTCCTCCACGACGGGGCAAACGAAATCCCTTGTCGGCTCCCGCCCTGTTGGCACCAACACAGCGCCTTGGCTTGTGAACCACATTTCGCTTTTTCCACTCATGTGTTTGGTATTGTTGTCGAAAGTTACATCTTGTAGTTCCAGTGCAAGAGGCATGTCCGATAGCATCGGTTGGACGCTTTTCGTTAAGTCATGGGTGCTCCTCCAGTGAATGGAGATCTCTGGGCTTCACGCGATTGAAAGCCCAGCATGTGCAGAGATTAAACCCGTGATCAATGAAGCAAACGGCTGTTGACGTCCAATCCCCAAGCCCTACGGTACCCTGCGGCCCGGAACAGATCGAGCTCATTGCATTGTACAATAAATAAACCCCAAGCCTGCGCCAGCTAAGTGCTGTACCTTTGGGCCACCGCGGTGGGAGAAGCACTTTGAAGCCTCGCATCTTGAAACTTCTCAAGACTCCGAGGTGGTGCTGGCAGCAGACACGCCACGCAGTGATTTCGACTACATCCTTGTCTCTGCAGCGTCCTCCCTCGAGGTGAGTCGTTAGGGTCTTTTGAGGAGCTGCATGAAGGACCCAACACGTCACAAGCCGTCGCTTCTCCGGCTAGGAGCAGACAACTCCGGTGTCGGCAATGTTGTTTGACACGGATGGAACGGCCACCCTGCAGCAGTAATAAGCCGACTCGTTTCGCTCTTTGTTACTCTGGATCGTGGTGTATACTTTCAAGCTAGCTTGCCGTTGCGGGTCTCGATAGCAGAGATTTCTCTGGAAAGAGAGTCATCCGGTCTTTGTGCCGGGTCTCCGGGGACCATGAGGACACAGGATGCGAATGATTGTCGGTGGTTGCCTTTCAACCTCTTGTAGTTTGTCCGTGGGGAGATTCAAGCTCAGCAACCGGGACATGGCCTCTGCAGAAGTATCCTTTTGTGCACTGATAAATTGCAGTGCAAGCCTGTGTGCCCCTCCCGAGGAAGAACAATCAACTAGTTCGGCTCTCGCAGATGCCTCGGAGCATATAACATCGACAAACAATTGTGAATGCAGAGCCAAACCGGCGAGATCCGTCTACGTACCTTGCGCAGCCCGGCGACGACTGGTGTCACCAGCCGCAGGTGCGGAATCTCACGTTCCCAGACTGCGACCTTGATGCCTTTGAGCTGGGAGGCACTTCCCGAGACGGACGTCAAGTTCGCCTTCAATGTATAGTATAATCTAGTATAGTCTGCAATCTTCCAACATTCCAGGGTGATGGTAATGGGAGTGGTGGTGGCGGCAGGGGCAGTCGCCGTGGCCACGGCGGCGGCAGCGGTGTGGTGGCTTGTGGTGGTGGTAGCGGTGGTGGTGGCTGGGCGGTGGTGTTGATGTTGATGGCGAGGCAATGACTGTAACGATGATAACGATGATGATGAAGAAGAAGATGACTTCTCCGATGTTGTCTCTCTCTGTCTCTCTCTTTCTCTCTCACTCCTTCTTTCTTGGTGACCTTTGTCAGATCTGGATGCGCCCAGCCGCGCGTTCTGAGGTGGCTCAACAGACCGGCACTTCATGCCTCTCATGATGGTAAGGGTTTGAGGCTACGGCTAAAAGTGAGGACTGAGAGCTGGCAAGAATCACTGGTGCCAGACTCGCGCCAGGTTACCTGACCTGGGCAGCACCTGCCAACATCACAGAGGTTGGAGAGTCATCCAGGGATTCTGAGGTAGGATTTTGAACATTTGCGGTCGCGGGTGGGATGTGTATGATATGTATAGTTGTAGGATGTAATGCTTGAGTAGCTTATTTTCCAACTGCAGCTTTGGTCCCATACAGTAGACCCCAAACCTAAGGACTCCTCGCAATCTGCGGGCTCAACGAGACTTTTAGGAGCCGAAGGAGCGTGGAGAACAGCACATGAGAGTCACAGGTTTGGAAGGCACGAGCCCGCAGAGCTGAGAATCCCGAATGCATGCATCATGCAGTCTTGCAGCTTCAATCCTGAAGGCAAAGCGTAGGCCTTAGGTGAGAGGCCAGAGTCCAGGTATCGCACTACTTCGTCTACCTCGGCATGGATGGCGTCCAAAGCCTACAAGGGCGCAGGGTCATGATGCATTTATTGGTCGAGTTCTCGTTTCGGATTTTGGCGTTGAGCGCAAGCATTTTCTCGAAACCTAAACGTATATATTGCAACAGTAACTCCGCTCCTCTGACAAGATGATTCTACTGGTGCTGAGCGTGGGGCACGACGTAGGCTTTGGGAGACGTACGCGGAGACATGTCAATGTACGTAAGAGCAGACCACATAGTCAGACGATGCAGCGCATGTGTTTGCACTGTTTGCAGCATAGCTGCTTGCAGCTTCAGGCTGCATGCCAAGCCCCGCATCCTGAGCTCGAACCAAATCGGAAAGCCCTGACTGCACCGTAAGGCCAACCAATCACGAAACTCCTGCAAACCCTTGAAGAGTTTTGGCAATTCTGCCCAGTCTTCGGCCTGCACGGGCTATGCTGACAGTCGCACGGCAGATGCTGCCTCTCTGGCCGGAGCTTCGTCTGAGTTCTGAGGAGAATAGGGAGGAGAATGGATCTCGGCTTTGTGGTTCAGGATGGTCAGCCGTCAGCTGCCCCAGAATCCATTTAAAGCGACAATTTCGGCAGAGTGCAGGCTCGGACACGGTGCCCGTCTCGAGATGCTTCCCTTGATGAAGAAGGGGTCTGTAACAAGGACATCGAGACACGGCCGTTGAGGGTCCCTGGTGCCGATGGCTGTATCAGATCAATGCGAGACTTAGCTGAAAGTGTCTCATAGTCAACAGTCCAAGCTCTACCAACGATTTTAAGCTTGGTTCTGAAGTACTATGCTTGTCGTCAGTCGTGAGTTCCAAGAAGGACGCAGCTCCACCTAGCAGTTCCAGCTTGCACAGTGAGATGCTCTTTGAGGCTGGGCGATACCAACAGCACTCTCCCTGCTGCTTCTTGGCGTCACCAGGGCACCTCCAGTGCGTAACAATTTGGCCGCACTGCCACGAGAACTGCCCGAGACCCTCTTGAGCTGCCTCGCTCCTTCTTCTGCCATGCCATGTAGCTTTCAGGATCCACGGATTTGAAAGGTACATACTGGGTTTTCGGTGGAAAGGACACGGTGATGCAAAACTGGACGCACTGGCTCGTCTATGCTTCGTCTTCGCTGGCAGAGCAGACCACGCCTGCAACGGTCGAGATCCAGGCCAGGTGCGCAACTCTCTGTCGTCTGTGGTAGCTTTTCTGATGCAGACATCGCTGTGGTCATGCGCAGCATTGTGCTGGGCATTTCTGGTATTTTCTCCGGCAGCTGATAGTCAGACCTTGTAACATGAACTAGATAAGCGGATAAACCCTCCAGAAAGGACAGCGACTGTCCTGATGTCACCAGATGCCTTCTGCACAGGATGACAATGCCACGGTGGGCACGATCAGTTTCGTGGGTACTGACTTGCCGCTCGCACCAGTTAAGACTCTGCCGTTGCGTCAGGGCTGGACCCTGTTCCCAGGAACATGGACGTGGTCAACGGGAGCCTTGTGTGGGGGCCGCCTGCTGAACCGGACTGCTTGGAGTCGATTGTGAGCTGGTTGCACTCGGCCCTAGGATGAGGGCTCCAAGTGTGAAAAGGTGCAGAAGCGGACAGAAGCTAGTTAGTTCAACATGACCCGTTCCAGAAGTTCTCTGTTCCCGTTTGCCTTTCGGAGAGGCTGCTTCATCTTTCTGTAGATGTGATGCCCAAACATGCCCACAGAGACCTTGAGATTTCGGAGAACTTGCCGAAGTCGCAGCCACTCTTGTGAGGTCATCTACATCGCGGAGGACAACATGGGCTCGGCAAGGCTCCAAAACCTTTAGCTGCCTGGGGATTCCCCGCTTCTGGACAGGTCTGAGATGCATTGTTTGTGTCTCTGCGGTTCTGGCATAGAATGAAGCTATGGCTAAAGTAAGAACAGTGGCAGTTGCACCGGCAGGTCCCAACTGGGTGAGGTGGAAGCCGGCATTGATCAGCTACAGGCCGCACCATGCCGCCCCCTTGTTTTCGGCGGGGCTCGGTTTCTGTGACCCCCAATCCCAAAGGTTCAAAGCCAACCCAAGCAACCTTGCCCTGTCAGGTCGTTGAGGGCGATGCCTATGGGGAGCCTTGGTGAAACAGCTGTCAAGTCGCTGCTTTGGGATGCTTTCTTTGGGGCCAGCATGCTCCATGTGACTTCAGAACTTCACCCACTTCGTGGTGTACACGAAGTCCAGCTTTGCTGAGCAGACGACGCCGAACAGCCTGTCCTTCGAAGAAGCTGTCGCGAAGTATCAGGTGGGCAGTGACACCGGCATGCATGGTGAGCGCTAGATGAGTTGTTATGTATGTCGATGGCGATCATGGTTCTGCTCTTGATGATGGTTTGGTTAAGCAGTGGTGGTGTGCGCAGCACGGGATCCGAAAGCCTGCCTGAAAAATCCACCTTTGTGGTTGTGCTGTTAACCTTTGTTGCCTTGAGTCCCCTGCTCCCTGTCCCTCAGCCGAACCAGTCCGAAACCAAGACCTTATGTGTGGAAGTGTGCAGGTGTCTAGCCCAGCCTTCACCGACCAGGACTTGGACCAAGGCAGCCGCTGACAGCTGTGCTGCTGAAAACATCATAGTGAGAATTACGACTATGAGTGTGATGACGCTGTGATCATGGCGACGGTTATGCGAACAAGGATGCTGCTGTCGACTTCCGTTGCCCGTTGTCACAGTTCAGTTGATTGAAAACAAGCAGAGAAACAGTGAGAGCCAGAGAACACAGACCCCAAAGAATAAATAAAAAGGAAGCGAGAAGAGCGACGGCGCAGGAATGGAACAGTTGGATTACAGATGAGGAGCAGCGGGTCCCACTTTGAATAGATCTTGCCCATTGCTCATTGTTTCGAATCCCCTCTCCCTTCTCTCTTCGATTTTCGTCGTTGTCGCGGATAAACAAGTAGCGGAGCGGAGGAAGTGCAATATGGAGCAATGATGCCCGGTGGCTGAGGGAGTTTGTTCTTTTGGTGAAGGCTCGGAACTTCTAAAGTCTAAAGCGTTCAAAGACTTGAATCGTTTAGATGGTTTCAAGTTTTTGAAGCCTTTACAGCCTTCAAAATTTTAGACATTTTTTAACGCTTGAAAACGTGTCAAACCTAATTGTTGAAACTCCAACTGTCTGAAAGAAGTTTCAGACGACTGAGGGGGTTTGTTCGGTTGGAGGCCCGGAATTTCCAAAACTGTCACAACTCCTTGCATTGTTAAAAAGAAGAGTTAACTTTTTCCATTAAGGTTCAATAAAGTTTAGAAATCCCCTGAGTTTAAACTGTGCTTGAGTAATAAGGAATAAAGAATACGAAATGGGAAGCTTTCACAAAGGCCGCGGGTCAAGTATTACAAAAAGGGTTCTGTAAACTGCATATACAGGTATGTGTGTGTGTGTATATATATATATTGTATACATACATACATACATACATACATACATACATAATTAATATGTATATTTAGATGCATGCATGTGCACATATCTATGCACATATATATATATATGTGTGTATATATATATGTATGTATGTATGTATGTATGTATGTATGTACACATATTTGTGGTCAGGAGCTCCGCGGCCCCCCCCCCTCCCGGGGTCCTTTTCCCTCTGTGGTGTGGTTGGGGGCTTTGGGGTTTTGGGTTTAGCTTAAGCTTTTGAGTTTTGGGGTTTAGGGTTTAAGCTTAAAAGATATAAGGCCTCGAGTCGACAAGAGCATAGGGAGGGTTGGGGATGTAGGTTGGTTAGGGTGACGGTTTATGTTCTGTTTCAAGCTTCGAGCCTGCATTTAGGCGGGGTTTAGGGTTGGGTGCAAGATTTACAGTATTAAGTACAGGTTTAGGTCAATGAAAACAGGAACGCGCCCTACGCCATAGGGTTAAATTTATGGCTGGCGTGCGTAGGGTCCCGCATGTCCCGGCACTCTCTGTGACCCCTGGTCGGCCCCCAGCAGCACCCCACCCAACCGCCCCGACCTCTCCTCCGCACATGCAGCCCTTGACCATATGGTCAGGCTGCGCCCCCGACCCCACCCCCTCGCACCATGGTATTGCCCATTTGTCATCCCCCGCGCCACTGTTGAGCTTGCGTGTGGAATGGTTGGGTGGTTTGGTAGTTTAGGCCCTCGAATGGTACTCCGTGTGCTCATCTCTGCCTGTGGAACAGCTTGGGTCTTAGCTTCGGAAGTCCCTATGTGGATTGAGCTCTTCTTTATTTGCATCTAGCCGTAAACTACATATTACAGACTAGAATATGGTCTGATGTTGAACGTTCCTCGTTATGTGCGAGAAACTACATACTGAAACTTGAAACCAAATCCTAATTATTATGTATTATATACCAATTACATAGATCACAGTATTTAGTGTAAAGGGTGTCACATGTAGCACATTGTAAACCATATATCCTTTACATGGTATATTTGCATAGTTTTCCTTGTCCGGTTGCGGCGGTCTAG